AAGGGAGTATATGGTTACTTATAGAGCTATTGAAATGTTACTATGAAACTGTTTCACTTGTCCAATGAGATTGTTACTTTACAAAGATATTCAACTGTTACTTGTTAACATGAAACTGGTTCAATTGTAATCCTGATGAAACTTGTAACATGAAACTGTTTTTTTCTTATCTTTTCTGAAATAGTTTCACTTCCTTCACGCACTCATATCATCATGCACACTATTCATCATGCACCCATTTCATGATGCACTCATTTCATGTTGTATCCATTTCATCATGCATTCATTTTATAATCATTTTCACTTACTCCATGCATCAATTTCACCATGTATGAAACCGGTTTCATCATGCACCAACTACATAATCATTTTCATTTACTCCATGCACCACTTTCACCATGTACGAAACCGGTTTCATGAATATTTTTTTAATTATATTACTGATTTCATGGATTTATTAATATAATAACTTACGATTTTCATGAATCTTGACAATAATAAACTGACACACAATATAACAAAATCCAATTTTTAATATTATAATTTAATAAATATTTAAATGTTACCATTTATAAAATTTCCTTTATTATGTTACATTAATCAAGATTTATTAATAACCTTCATATTTAATAGAAAACAATGCAAATGACCAATATACCTTTAATTATTAAATTTAATTAAAAAAATGGAATTTTTCTATCAATAAAATTAGTTTACACGGTTTCTCAGAATTGTACGGTTTTCATTTGAACGTGACTCTCTCTCTCTCTCTCTCTCTCTATATATATATATATATCATGATAAGATTCATTCATTATGATCAAAACCTTATATTAAGAAACAAAAATGAAATCAGATATTTATTAGAACAGATGGACGGCTAAAATTAGTTTTATTATTTGTAAGAATTAAATAGTTTGTATTTTAAACCTCCTCTGTATAAATATACAAAAATATCCAAAAAAAAGTCACACTCAGTTATGTTTAAAAAATTAACGCATTGAACAGAAATGAAAGTGAATGAGTATAAAAGTGAAACTTGTGTTTTTGTTGCCTTTTGGATAGAAAATGGGGATCTTGAAGACGAAAGGGATGATTGAAAAAGCAGTGACTGACCTGTGTTACAGCAATGTCAACTTTCCAAAAACCCTAACAATGGCTGATCTTGGATGTTCCTTGGGACCAAACACCCTTCTTGTGGGATCCATGCTCATCAATGCAGTAGCCAAGGCTAGCCTCAAAATGGGCCATAAATCTCCTGAAATCCAAATCAACTTGAACGATCTTCCAACCAACGATTTCAATACCATATTCTCTTCATTACAAGAATTCCAAGAAAGTTCAATCATCGGGGATGTTCATCCTCTACCCTCATATTACTTTACTGGGGTGCCTGGATCATTTTTTGAAAGGCTCTTTCCAAGGAAAACTCTACATTTTATCCACTCTTCCTATGGTCTCCAATGGCTGTCCCAGGTATGTCTCACTACTAAACCAAAGACTTTTGGTAAATCTGTCGCTAAAGGGTGATTCCCGTCACGAAAGTTGGTGGATAAATTGCAGTAATATGTTAATTTAAGCAGGCTCCACGAGTAGGAGACATTAACAAAGGGAGCATATACTTATCAAGTACAACCCCAGAAAGTGTAACAAGGATGTACTACGAACAATTTCAGAAAGATTTCTTGACCTTTTTGAGGTGTCGATCAGAGGAGATGGTGGTTGGAGGGCATATGGTTTTGACATTATCAGGAAGAAAAACTGATGATCCTTGTGACGAAGAAAGCTATTACCTGTGGAGGCCATTTTCTATGGCTCTTGAGGACATGGTATCTGAGGTATTTTACTTTTAGTTTAACCAAAATTTGCATCATCATATTCAGCAATTTATGGAACAAACGCATCCAATGATTGTGATTACCGAAACAGGGTCTTATAGATGAAGCGGAACTGGATTCGTTCAACCTTCCTCAATATACAGCATCCCTAAATGAGATCAAGAACTTGGTGGAGAAAGAAGGTTCCTTCATAATCGATGACATGGAGCTTTTCGACGTAGACTGGACGGCGTGGGAGAAAACCGAGTACGGTAATGATGCAAAACGTGGCGTGGCATTGGCTATTAGAGCTGCGATTGAGCCGTTGGTTTCTAATCACTTTGGTGAGGCAATACTTGATGATGTTTTCATGAGGTATGAGAAGTTTCTTACAAATAGACTGCCGTGCAAGGAGAAGGAAGCTCTTGTTACGATAAGTGTTTCCTTGATCAGAAAAATGTGATGTTAAGCTTTTGTGTGATTGTGGATGTTAAAAATAAGTTTGGAATATCTGTTAAATAAGTGGCACAAAATTCTTCTTGGCTATCTATCATGCCTTGAATGAATATGTATTCAAGGGCAATGTACAAGTGTATGTGATTTTGTGATCAAGTGAAACTATTTTATTTCATGCAAAACCAACTCTCCATATTACATAATAAAATATCAAACCATAAGGGTGGTGTCTGATTGGTTTGAGCTTGATTTCAAATATCAAAAGTACCAAGAGGTCTCAGGTTCAGATCCAAGGAGGAAAAAAATCTTTTGTGGCCATGGAGGTTCAAATACAGTAACTCCGGGCTATGAGCAAAGTAGGTGGTCGCCCTGGAATTAATCGGCTCGTATAACGGGTTGGATATGCAGGTTAATTAAAAAATAAAACGATCAAGAATTGCAAAGAATGAGAAGTAATTTCCTAAAAAATATGTAGAATGCAAGTTTCCAACTTTGTTTTGAGGTTGAACATGAACATATTACACATATTGATGCAAAAACTACAAGAGTATCAGATTATGCATAACTAAACTTCTATTGTTTAATATGCACATACAAATTAATTGAAATACCTAAACAGCAACAACATATTAGATGGTGAAACTCCTAAGGTCAGTTTGATTTGTAGGAATGTTTTTGAAGGATTTAGATTTGAAGGAGGGATTTGGATGTGGAGAGATTTGGAATGGAATGAATTTAAAATTATTGGTGTCTTTGGTTCGTAAGATTTGGAATAAAATTGGATTCCATTATTTATAAATAATTAAAAATTAATTAAATTACATTTTTATTAATTGATTATTACAAAACAAACAGCTTTAACATTTTGCACATAATCCTACGAAATCCTGTGAAATCCCTAGCATGTAATATATATATATATATATATATATATATATATATAGGGTTGGGTTCATGTGAGAACGAGAGTTTTTCGTGAGACCCGTAAGACCAATTTATGTTCATTGATCAACTTTATAAGTTAATTATCTAATGGTCTAAAATTGCACGGTGGCAATTTCGTAATTATTGAGAAGTCTCGTGGCATTTATGAATGTTTAGATATGACGATAGTAGATATAATCCAAGGGTTGAGAATTGGTCTTACGGGTCTCACGAAAAACCCTTGGTCTCACATGATCCCAAGTCTATATATATATAGAGAGAGAGAGAGAGAGAGAGAGGGTACCGTGTATATATAGTTGTGACAGTTAAGTTTGGTTTTTTTTGATGGAAATAATTGTTCCTATCAGTGGGTTATATATAAATTTCATATACGCCTACATAGTTCCTCTCTATCAAGAACACTGAAATTGTCTATGGAAACCACACACTACTAGAAAACTGAGCATTTCCGGCGGAAATTTCCGGCGGAAAAGGCCACCGGTAACTTTTTTAAATTTTTTTTGAAAATTCTATTTAAATTAAAAAAAAAGAGAAAATTCAATTTCCGGTGGATTTTCCGGCGAAAATGGCCGCCGGTACATTTTTGAATTTTTTTTTTTGAAAATTTTATTTAAATTTAAAAAAAAAAGAGAAAATATTACCGGAAGATTTCCGGTGGAAATGGCCGCCGGTAACTTTTTTAAATTTTTTTTTTGAAAATCTTATTTAATTAAGTTTTTCCGGCGAGAAAATACTCCGGCGGAAAAATCCGCCGGAAAAGTTTTAAATTTTTTTAATTAAGTTAAACCAAGTTCCTTAATTTTTCCGGTGAAAGATTTCCGGCGGCCGTGGTCCGCCGGAAAAGGGAAAAATCCGCCGGAAAAAAAATCAGCGGCGCCCTCTTTTCCGGCGGACAAATCCGCCGGAAATCCGCCGGAAAACCCAATTTCCGGCGGGTTTGTCCGCCGGAAAAGAGGGTTATTTTGGTAGTGACATCCATCATGGCGATAGATATGCAGAAGTGGATCCTATAGAGAATGGAACAAGAAGTAAACACAACAAGGTTGCATCTTCATCAGGAACGAAAGGTACGCATAGAGTTTCTTCAGTGATTAGATACTTTATTCAATTCTAGGGTTATTATGTTACGATTGATCATACTTTTCAATTGGTATCAGAGCCCTAACCCCTCGAATTGAATTAGTAACTGTGTAACATCAATTGACTAAGTTCTTAACAAACCGATTATACGTGAAATCTGTTCACTGAGTTTTCAACAAAATCGATTATACATGAAATCGATTAACAGCGTGTTCAACAAAATTGATTGGACATGGAAATCGATCGACTGTGTATTATTTAAAATCGATTATGTATAAAATTGATCGACTGCGTATTGATCAAAATCAATTATACAGAAAATCGATTCACTGATTGTTGATCAAAATCAATTATGCAGAAAATCGATTCACTGATTGTTAATCAAAATCGATTATACAGAAAATCGATTAACTTCTTGTTGATCAAAATCAATTATAGAGAAAAATCGATTCACTGCTTGTGGAACAAAATCGATTACACACAGAAATTGATCGATTGCTCATTCAATGAAATCAATTATATATAAAAATCGATCAACTAGGAATTTATTGAATTCAACAGTACATGGAAAAATCGATTGATTGCATATTCACTAGATTCGACAATACATGGAATTCATATTCTGTATAATTTAACAAATCAAAAATCAAAACTCTTAGTATCAATACAGTAGCAAAGAATCATGTGTAGTCAAGAATTAGTAGTCAAAATCCTAAGGAAATCCACATATCACCACATTGAATTTGGATTTACATGATTCAAGTACCACTACAGTAGTCAAGAATCATGTATAGATAATTTAAAACTACAGTGTCTGCTTTCTTCATATGCTACCACAGTAGTTTTGATCAAACAGACACCTGATCATGACATAATCTAGGATTTGATATGCTTTCACAAAAGGTAATCAAATTCAAAGTTCATGTTTCCATTGTAGATAATATTTATTGAATTCTTGATGAACAAGTAGAATTCATTACCATACTACATAGATTGATAAGTGTAAATCTATTCCATAAATTCAGGATCACCAAGCAAAATTTATCAGCAACAGTTCCTGTCACATACAACACAATATCCTATGAGTGTGACTAATTTTGCACCATTAAACAGTGTGAATTATAAGAAATGGGAAGAGGACAATCAACTTATGCTGGGTATTCTGGACTTCGATCATGTCCTCAAAGAAGATCCACCACCAGAACCTGCAGATACAACAACCAAAGAGGTTAAGGCTAAATATAAGGAATAGCACAAACACAATAGAATAACATTGATATACATAAAGAAATGCATGACTGATGTTGTCAAAGGGGGAATACCCGAATCTGATCTTGCTAAAGTCTATTTTGCCTCAATTGCTGATAAGTATAAGGTGTTAGATAAGGCAGAAACTGGATACCTTATGAACAAGCTGATCAAAATGAGTTTTAACGAACAAGGGAGTATCAGAGAATACATTTTGCAAGGAATTGACACTTCCTGCAAACTTAAGGAAATGAAAGTTGAAATTGATGATTCATTCCTTGTACACCTTCTGTTGAACTCATTACCTGATCAATATAGCCACTTAAGGAGTCTTTACAATACGCAGAAGGAAAAATGGTCTTTAGATGAGCTAATCTCTATTTGTGTCTAAGAGGAATCCAAAATCAAAAATGAAGGAAAGGCAATAGTTGTCAATTGTGTGTCAAAGTCTAAGGATAAGAACAAGAAACATTCCAATTTTCATAAGAAAAGTCCTCGTACCCCTTTTGTTAAGAATAACAAAAACAAAAAGGAATTGAAATGCTTCTTCTGCAAGAAAACTGGACATTTCGAGAAGGACTGTGAAGGCTTTAAGGAATGGTTGAACAAGAAAGGTAATGTTAAACATTTCTTTTCTTTAAAAACCACTATTTGTAATAGTGACAATTCATGGTGGTTTGATACAGCCTCACCAATACATATTGTTAATTCAATGCAMRRATTGTCAAGGACAACAATTCCAAAAATGAATGAATCTAGAATATGTACAGCAAATGGACAAGCATTGAAGGTTGAAGCTATTGGTGAATGTAGACTACTATTTAAGAACAATTATGTGTTAACTTTTAACAATGTGTATTATATACCTAGAATAAAGAGAAACCTGATGTCAAGTTCTCAAATTGTCACTGAAAACAATGTTTCCTTCTATGCAAATAAGGATTGTATGTTGTTTTATTTGGATGATGTCTGTTTTGGGAATGCATATTTAATTGATGGATATTGACATTTGAATTGTGTAAATGAAACCATCAATAAGGGTCTCAAGAGATATATATGCTCAATAAGCAAACTCACAGGAGCTAAGAAAAGACGTAAACATAATGTATCATCCTTTTTATGGCACAAAAGATTAGGACACATATCTAGATCAAGAATGTAGGACTAGATTAGACAGACAATTCTGCCAGAATTGGACTTTGATGACATTGAGACATGTGCAGAACGTCTTAAGGGAAAAATGACTAATTCTATAAATTTTAATTCTAAAAGAAGTCAGTGTATTCTTGAACTAATACACACAGACATATGTGCGCCTTTCCCAATTGAGACAATATGTGGAAATCAATATTTTGCTACATTCATAGATGACTTCTGAAGGTTCTGTCATGTATTTCTCATGTCAGAAAAATCACAAGTCTTAGATTGTTTTATTCAATTTATGACAGAAGTAGAAAGACAGTCTGAGAAGGTTATCAAAGTAGTTAGATCAGATAGAGGAGGAAAATATTTTGGCAAATATTCTGAAAAGGGACAACATAAAGAACCCTTTGCTATATATTTAGAAAGGGTTGGATTCAAAGCTGAGTACAATACTCCTTATACTTCTACGCAAAATGGTGTGGCAGAGAGAAAGAACAGGACACTGATGAACATGGTTAGAAGCATGTTTGCAAGATCTAGTCTACCGAAATTTCTATGGGGCGAAGCCTTAAAGACAGCAAACTACATATG